TCTCTGCTTTGTCATTTTCTATTAAAATTAGTCACCAGTGGATGTACTGCGTGCATGCCATTTCTGTATTTACGTTATCACCATGATGTATTCACTTCCCCACATCGACCCTGATCTATCACATGGTCATCGCAGATATTACCTGGTTGGACAGTTTCAGCTAATAGCACACAGAAGTAGTAAGAGAATTTGTTTAAATAATATATACAATTGTCGGAGGAAGAAAGTTAAACATAGGACACAGAATTTGTGAGTTAATTTACTACAGTCATGTAATCAACGCAAATCAAAACTCATATGGAACTGTCCGTACGGTGTAAAAATTTGATGGCGACAAAGCTGCATCACTCACACACACACACACAAAAAAAAAGATTTTCCTCTTGGGCTGAACCTTAACATTTCAACTATTTGTTGCTTGGTACATGAGCATGCATATTCCAAATTTTCATTATTTAACTCTAGCTTTAAACACAAGAGAAAAAAAAATCATGGCTACAGACAGACGAAATGATAAAGACGTTTCAAGCAAGGCAATTAGCCCAGTTCAAGGTCACATGGAATTCAGTCATACCAGTGACTGATGGGTATTAGATGAGACTAAAAAGCCACGTGGTTTTCTGGACTGGTACCCTGCTGCTTACTGAACCCAAATGATCTCGATAAGTAAGAGAACCTGGCATGTTAAACTTGAACGTTCTTTCTGAAATCACCACAAGCAAATATCAGGAATTGCAAGCCCCTCCCCCTCTATCTCCACCCCCTTGATGTAGCCAAAGTAAAATGCTAATACAATAGCAGATTTTCCTATCTGGATACGGTGTCGAGCCATTCCACCTGATTTCATTTTGCCTACAGCCCTACACTATTAACACTTTTATTTGGTACATAGAGTTGCCCTAGCAACCCAGACTTGTCTGTATCTTCACATACACTGACCTAAAAATTAATCAAAGTGTGCCTATTAAATTGTAAAATTAACTTTTGCATCAATATATATGACTTTCATTACTGTTATAAAACATGTATGGAAGTTGGATGCCTTTAGGTCAAACAATGTATAGTGGTGATAAAACTCATTCAGTTAAATCTTAGCAAGGTTTAGGAATGGAAATTAATAGAGAAAGGAAATAGGGGATGAAGTAAATTCAGTAACGGGGACTAGAGGTGTGTGCTATCATCGGTATACCACGGTATTTTTTCACTGTTCCAGTATACCTGTTTACCGAGGTATTTTTTTTTAATTTTTTTCACTGTACCGGTATAACAGTTGCTTCCATGAGTAAAGAATGTTTGAAAATTCACGAGTAATCTTATTTAATATTTTAATGACATCAACTTCGTGTCCAGGTGGCCAATTAAACTTTTGGTGGAGTGGAGATTGAGAGATTTTTAAATATTTTATTTTTTTTATCTCACGGTATTTTTTCTTCACACAAATTATGATATAACAGCTTTAGTTTGCTTTAAATCAGAGTAATTTTTTTTTGTTCAGCTATTGATAGACGGAACTTGAAAAAAAAAAATAGTGCCAGGCCCTTGTCCCAGAACATTAAGTTGGTGTTTCCTAATATAACAGATGTATACCATGGTAGTACCTATCGTGGAATGTTCAGAACTATCGTGGTATAAATGTTTACGTGGCACCCAGCTCTAATGGGCACTCGATAATTAGCGATACCAGTGATGGATGGGTATTTGATGAGGCTCAAGAACCCTGGATCCCTGGAATGGTACCCTGTTGTCTACCATACATCAATCATAAACAATTAATGCAATCAAGGTTCATATGCCCATTATCCTGTCTGCATACCTTTCAAGTAACACAGAAAAAACTGTTACACCAAGTTGTATAAAACCTTGTAATAAAAAATACCCACACCGTTCAACAGGTTCTACCAGTATCAAAGCAAATCAATTCAGTACGGAAGTTAGTAAACCTTGACCTTCAATTATTAAAAGTGCGAGGTATTAAGGATATACCGATTTACCAAGGTATTTTTAATCAGTGCCAGGTACCCGTAGTACTTTTTCACCGTACCTGTACTCCGGTAGTTTCAATGAGTAAAGAGTGCACGGAAATTCATGAGCAATCTTGTTTTGAATTTAATTATATCTACAGCATATTTTTATTTTTCGTGACAAAATAATTCAGTTTTTTGTGTATAGTTGAATGTGTCACAAATTTTAATTTTGAATATTACAGATATATTTATGTTACTTTAATCACATGTTTGGCACGTGCCGCGCATGCTATAGTTTTTGCCAAATAAGTCTACTTAAGGACACTTTTTGGGGGGTTGTTAAGTACACGTATCCCTCTGTAAGACAGTCAATCTTCCAAAGAATTTCCCGAGTCTTTGTTATCTAATTTCTCAAGTCCACTAAATATTTTCTCCTTTGTTAAGTAAGCGAGTTTTATATTTAATGTCCCTCCTTGATAAGTATCTTGCCAGGGTATTGACCTCACACTCCAAGTTTCCCGGTCTATTTATATCAATAGTGTAGCTAGTAAGTGCTAGGTATCGGCGCCTTGACTTTCCTATTTTTATCAAAAAGCTCTCTTGGTGTCAGCAAAATGTCTTTCATAGTGTCCGCTGCAGTTTAAGCTTAAACATCACATGATAGGCTTAGATTGTTCAACATTTAAGACACGCATAGCGAATTCATCTAATGTAAGGTACCGATCATTCAATTTTCGTGGTGTGTGTGTGTGTGTGTGTGTGTGTGTGTGTGTGTGTGTGTGTGTGCGGTTTTGTTTAGAGATGAAATATTTAATTTGATCTAAAGATAACGATTCTTGTTCTTCTTTCAGATAATATAATAGATATAGCACAGCTTCATCTTACTATAAACGAGAGCAAGCTATTTTTACCAACTATCATTAGACGGAAATAAAAATAAACAGTGTCAGATTTTTGCTCAAGAACATCATATTATTGCTTCCTAACATATATTCGGTATACCATGGCAAGTATCGCGGTATTTTCGAGATTACCGAAGTACAACATTTTTGTGGTACCCGGTTCTAATGGGCAAACGATACTCAATGAAACCAAATTGGTATTTGATGAGGCTCAATAAACGTGTATCTTTGTAATTGTTCCCTGTTGTCTACCATACCACAGTCACAATTAATGTCATCAGTGGTCACCTGCCCCAAAATGCTTTTTATATTCTTTTTAACAATCACAGCAAACCATACACAAATGTCTACAAATTCATGTAAAAAAGCATCCACACCTTTCAACAGGATTTGCAAATGTAGAAGGATATCAATTCAGTACGTAAGTTAGTGAACCTCCTTTATGCGCAATACTACTAGAGGTGCGCGGTAATTCTCGTAAGCCAGTTGGCCGCGGTATTTTATTTCCGGTGTACGTACCCTGATACTTTTACGCAATACCTGTACTACGGTAGTTCCATGAATATAGAACGCAAGGAAATTCACGAATAATTGCGTTAACATTGTAACGAATAGTACACATACACATAACAAATTCATCTAATAAAGTATTGACCATTCAAGTTTGGTAGGTGGTGGTGGCGGCAACGATTTTCTTTAAAGAGGTGATGTTTTATTATCTTTTATCTAAAACTAATTATTTGTTGTTTTCTTTTTTGTTTCAGATAATGTAATGGGTATAACAGTTTTATTTTGCTATAAATCAGAGCAAGCTATTTTTTTCTCCAGCTATTGATGTACGGAAATTTAAAAATGAAAAGTGTCAGGCCCCCTTTTCAATATAAATTGTTTGTCCTAATATAATTGCTTTGCACTATGGTACTTATTGGGAAATACCGCGTTGCAATATACTGCATTACAAAATTTTCATGCTAGCAACCTCTAATTATGCCATAAAATCTAGACAGACGTTTTGAACTGTATAGACATCTGCTCTCGTTTCACTGGTTATGTTGAGAACTTTATGGCGGGAGCTCTTTCTATTGGGAATGTTGAGTACTTTGCTGGAATGAGTTCTTTTTTGAGGTGTGATGGTACTTTAATGACGGGAGCATTTTATGTTGGGTGTTTTACTCGTTGGAGCTCTTTTCGTTCGGTATGTTGAGTACTTTGCTGGAATGAGTTCTTTTTTGAGGTGTGATGGCACTTTAATGACGGGAGCATTTTATGTTGGGTGTTTTAATGGTTGGAGCTCTTTTCGTTGGGTATGTTGAGTACTTTGCTGAAATGAGTACTTCTTTGAGGTGTTATGGTACTTTACTGACAGGAGCGTTTTATGTTGGGTATTTTACTAGTTGGAGCTCTTTTCGTTGGGTATGTTGGATACTTTATTGATGGGTGAAAGTTTAATTGGGTCTTTTGGGTACTTTATTGGTGGGAGCACTTTTTGTTGTGCTTATTGGGTACTTTACTGGCGGGAGCACTTTTAATAGGGTTCGTTGAGTACTTTACTGGCGGGAGCATTTTTAATAGGGTACGCTGGGTACTGGCGGAAGAAATTTTAATTGGCTATGTTAGTGATTTTACTGGTTAAGAGTAAGAACTTAGGAGTTACTTTGTTCATGAATGAAATGACAGGAGATAAGCCTTGAATAATTACACATACCTTCTTAGAAATTAAGATTCGCAGGGATAAGAGGATTCGGTTCAGGTCAACGTCTGCAAAGTGGTAGGAACGCAATTAGTATGTTGGCATGCATTCTGATCTGCTTGCTCAAAAAAGGATGTTATATAGTCATTAAATACTTATTAACTGCTTTGCCAAGTGATACGGTCTTCAGAAATATGTGTGTGTGTATGTGTTTGTTTGTGATATTGATTTTAACGTAGCTTGAAAATTTTTTTAGTCATATCGATACGATGTCTACAGTGTGGCAATTTATAGTGATGTGTGGCATTGGGGCATCGTGTCGCAGATACGTAGCATCATGTCCCACCCAGTCATTTTGGCACCAGGCCAACCAGTCCTAACACTAACCTCTTAATCTGAGCACCTAGCGAGACAGCTGTTTGTGCCATTTTTATGTCTTTGGTATGACTCGGCATGGATTCGAACCCGTGACCTCCCGTATCTGAGGCGGAAGCTCTAACCACTAGGCCATTGGAGCAGTCACTTGAGAAATAACGCATGCAGTTTAATACAAATTAGAATATGATCAGGCAAGCAAGGGTATGAAACAATGTCTAAATGGAAATAACATGTCAATGACATTAACAATTTACTTTGCTGTCAAGGCCAATATATTGTACATGATGAGCGGTGTTACATTCATATTTATCTTCATGTAATAGTATTGTTAAATCTATTCTATATTGCATACATGACGTTTGTCATGTTCGTGGTTGACGGTTAAAATGATGTATATTAGAATTTGAGTTCAAGAGTTAGCGGTATTTTCCATCAGAAATTTCAGTTCTCCAGAACATTATATTGCGTCATAGGTCAGGTTACTGTTTATATAAATAGGGAATTTGGCAAACAGTTAATTTTTTATTTTGTGAGTAGTCTCTGGAATCATCGAAATTTTGTTTATATATAATTTGAGAGGAGTTATTTATTTAAATTATTCATTGTAATTACAAAGTGCTCATTAATTTTTGGGACTAAGCACTACTTTAGGATTAGTGAGAACTCATTCAAAGACATGCTGGGTTGCAATATAGTGGCATATCAAGATATTAAAGGTTATTGGAATTTATTCGGAATATTCTATACGTTTGGAATTGTGATTGGAGTTAAGGATTATTTGGGACTTAATTCACAGTACTGTGTATTCTTGGGAAATGAAATGTCTGTTGAACTTAATTTTAATTGATATATAGTTGCCTTTATTTTCTGCTACATATTTTAAGACCTAGAGTCGTAAACGCACGTATCAACATGCTATTACATTATTCTGTTTCATACTCTGAGTTTAAGGTTTCAACTTGTAGCAGTTAGAGATTTGCTTCCTCAATGCTGGTTTTGCAATCGCCAGCACTGGTCATTTAATTTAAGATACTGATACTTCGATTCGATTTGAGACACACATCTACGCCGTTCAACGTAACCTTGGCTTTCAACCACATTGCCATGTCCTAACAAAAGTCCATCATGTCCAAACTGCGTATGGCTAGACTTTATTTTGTCCTGTCGTTAAATTGTTTGCAGTGTTATCACAATCAATCAAGTCCATGTCGTTTAAGTTTCGTGGCGTGTCTAGCTTCCACATTAAAGAAGCAGCAGAGTGTGTGCTTTAACTTTTGTTTCGTAAGAAAAAGGTTGATTATTTCGGTAGGGTCGATAAATTAAGTGTCTACACTGCTGTTGTTGATCAGTAACAAATACACTTACTTGAAAAAAGGAATGCATGGAATTGTTGGCAGGAGCAAATCTAGCAATTGCTTCTGTATTTTGGGGGTCATTTTTAGTTACTTTCGCTTTCAGACACAAGTAACTGTCTCAGACGCAAAGGTGGGCTGTCGTTGCAATGGACGACACTAGAATAAAATCACCATCTTCATCATGGTGGATAACATGGCAAACAGATAAAGTTCAGTCAAAATACATTTGCAAGTACATCATCTCTGACTTCACACTGTCAAAATACGAGTTACTGATTGGAAGATGGTACGGATGAACAAATTCACACTGAACATATATGTTTTCTGTTTCTTGGTAATCGCTGATGAAAGTGGCACAATTGTATGAGCTGTAATTTTGCTGGAAGCAAACAAACGCTATTCATCGGAAACACATCTATAGATCTGTCGTTGGGTAAAGTCAGTTAAAATTTATTATTTATCTTTAAATTGTTCTCTTCTGCAAGTTTTTTTTTTTATATCTCCAAATGTTCCAAGAGGTTGCCATGACTGGATGTTGGTGTTGTGACAGCTGCAACTGCCATTGCTGTTGCTGTTGTGACAGCTGTAACTGCCATTGCTGCTGCTGTTGTGACAGCTGTAAATGCCGTTGCTGCTACTGCTATTACAGTTGCCATTGATAACAATGGGATGGGATTCTTATTTCCTTGTTTCGATATGATGTGTCCGGCTGCAGCTCCAATCACATAATACACCACAGTGATACGTCTGAAGAAGACAATTCGATTATTTGGAACAAACTGATGATGCTGCTGCTGTTACCTTTCATTCTCTTGCACCTGTATTTATGATCCGGATGATTGGGACAACATACACGAATAACGGCATTTTTAAGGATTCTATTCTTTTTCCCTTTCTAAATGAAGACTTCTGACGCTGCAGCATACGTATTTATACTAGATGGATAACTTTTTCGAACGTCCTTTCACTTTTTTGATGCGATCTTGTTAAACTGTATGCTTTCTTTGGTCGAGGATGCTTTTGATATCATAGACGTTATCGTCATTCTCGGTCAGTAAGTCTAGCATGAGCAAGAAAAAATGTTGTTTTTTTTTTTAAAAAAAGATTTTCTGTTTATATCTCTTAATTTATATACGCGCAGATGACGTCCATTGAAGGGGCCAGTCTCACGAAACATTTGGGTAAATATCCCTCTTCGAACGTGCGTTTCGTTTTTATAATGTGACACAAATCTCCTGTTTTGACATTAAGAAAGAATGCCGAAGAGGAACTTCACCTTGGATGGGTTCTATAAAAACAGAGAACAACATTGCATCTTTAAACTTTAATGGCTATAGAACGCAGAATGCTTGATTTTCACGCAAGGTACTTGCTTTTAACTGTGAATAATATTAAGAAGATATTAATTACTTGACTGACGTGAGATCAAAAGTTGTTCAGGGTCAATTTAGCGTTAATCAGAATTTTGACATTAATATAAACATTTAGCTCACACAGCTCTGACCTAACTGAAGGTGTTATTTGGTCACACACGATGAACAGCTATGCTAGAAGCATATGCCGTTGTAATCCTCTCATAATAGCATCTTAACTTTCCCGATCCCTTAAGAAATATAGCTTTTGATATGATGCAAATAATGCAGAAATGTGAATATATATATATATATATATATATATATATATATATATATATATATATATATATATATATATATATATATATATATATATAAATTCGTTTGAAAATCCAAAAGGATTTAGGAACCCAACACAGGTGTATGTAAAAGTTGACAGCTCAGTAACACTCGAGAGCAAATTGTATCGTTCCAAGTGAATTTGTAATCGTACTCCAGAAAGTCTGTAAAAGCAATGATGTTTTTCATTCCACTTAGTACTGTCTTTTTTTTAGCATTCTCCAATAAATCCCTAAATGGGCCAAATAATTCTGCCATGGCAAACAATATTTCAACAATATATCAACAATGAGATCATCAGTATATTACGCGTCAACTTCTAATCTCCTCCTTTATCTTGTAAGTCAAGCCGGAAATGTAGCAGGAGCCATTTTTTTATACCGAATAATAATTTGAAAATTAAAACATCCCAAATGATGTAACGAATACCACCTGAATCGGTACTTGCGGGAACATGAGAGTAACCATTCGAAAGGTCAAATAATTTATATCTTCCAGTCTTTAAAATATTTCATATATGGGTGGTGCTGACTTTACATTGACTTTGCGGTAGTCTTCACATATTATAATGGTTAAATCTTCAGTATTTTATATAATGCACGTTTTATCGCGAAATGCATCCTTTTTGCTGTTAATGTAATTCGTCTCTTGATTTTTATGTGTACTCGATGTATCGCCTGATCAGTTTTCTATGGTTTGGTTTGTGTATAATACTGAATTCTTCCCATATTTTGCCTTAGCTGATAATGCTATTCCTCACTCAAGTGTTGAGTAAGGTTGACGTGCTGGGCGATTTTTTCGAATCGGATTTATATTCAATCTTGCAGTCCACCATATCTTCACCATCAATAGTTGTAAACATAATTATATGATTGATGTGGTAAGTAAATACCCATCTGTATTCCCACATAAGGACGTTGTGGTTTACGTCATGTGTTTTCCTGACGACACGATATGAGCCCTTCCTTTGTGCTGTCGTGTTTTATGCATCTGAAGGTAACAATACAAGACACACACCGGCTCAAAACCTCTTGCTTTGGTGCCTGTATCATATCATTTCTTGATATTATTTTGTCTCTGCTTTACGTTTTCCTGTTCATTGTCTGTAACTTCTGCGAGTTGATTATTTGTTGTCACGATAAGGTCAACGTCAGTCATTGTAACGCCTTCATCTCCCGCTATCTCTAATATACTATTAGGGCCTTGCGAGGTTCAACCATGTAGACTCTCAATGGATCACGAATGTGTCTCTTCGTAATATGCGTCCTGGTAGTAGGAATGCAATATTTAGTCTCATTCTTTTTTATTCGTTTCGCTAAATATTTTCTGCATACTTTTGATGCACCTATTTGAATGTGGATGGTAAGATGACGGTGTTATGCCGCTGACTTCCGGTTGGTCATGCAAGTTTCGTTGATGTGCTTGTTGAGTTGGTTCCTTGATCGGATAGCACAACTCAAGGCAACTGTACACGACTGAAAAGTCAATAAGAGCTTTCGCTACTCATTAAGAGTGTACACTTGGTAGAGCATAAACGTACGGATATCACGTTGCCTCCTTGATTATAGTAAGAATGAATTTGGATCTTGTTTCGTCCTTGTCAGTGGACCATCAATGCATATTGCTATCTGGTAGAAGAACCTACATAATGCAACGAGAGGATGTTGTTTTATCTTTGTTATACACGTTCCTGCACCTGTCACAGGTAGAAAAGTATTCTTTATTATCACGGACGGTCCCAGGTCAATAAAATGCACAAAAAAACCTTTCCTTTTTTATGTCCATCCCAAGATGGGCCTCTAAGCATCCATCATGCACTAATGATCAGATCACCACTGTTCTCCGGTACTGTGGAAGTGTGACCTTTATACCGAACCTATTTCCATCATGTCATGTCCATTTACGTCGGAAAACTCCATTTTCCACGTAGAATTAAATTAACATCTTGTTCTGAGAAAAGAGCTTTCAACAGAACATTCTACAACGTTGGGTCTTCCATTTGTAACACAAATATTTGGGTTTTTTTAAAAGCATGTATTTATTTAATCTGAGTGTCATTTCATTCCAAACACCCTGGTTTCACACCACAAGCTTGTTTAGCTGTTTCTTGGGATTCCCTTCGTTCCATCTCAGCAAATTGCTGAGCCAATGTCACCGTATCAAAAGCATTGTGATTACGAATATCCATTCCAAATAATGCATCTACTGCAAAGTCTGGTATATTTGAGCACTCTGACAGTTATAAGGTTGACCACGAATAGCCGTCTGATGGCGTCACAAAAGATAATTTTCTGTTCCTCAAGTCTGCAGTTAATATCAACTACATATTCCTTTATCGAGTCATATCTGCTCTAGGGTCTGTGATAAACATTATTTATTTTCCATTAACACGTCCAGGCACAGAGATTTTTTCTTCTTTCAGTCACTGACTAGAGGAGTTATGAGGCTGTTATCGAATTGACTTTTTATGCAGACCACGTTTTGTTCATTTAGAAAATTCTTTAAAGTCAACTATCTGGGTGTACTCTACAATTCTAACGGCGCCATCCGAGAGATTCCGGAATACTTTTGCTTCAGGCTCGATGGGTCACACAAATGTGTCTCGTGAATATTCTTTAACAGACTTGAGAGTATTTCGCTAAAGTATCTCCGGACTTTTAAAGGAATCGAGTATGGATCAATATTCTTTGCGTCTATTAGTACCTATTTATCAAGGATGATTTAACATCAGAACTGCTTCATTAATTATGTTCATTTGATGTATAGTCTCAATAGAGTTATCCAACATGGGAGTTCTTTGTATAGAAAACCTGATACAGTCTACTGCACCAAAGGTACGGAGGCATGGGACAGTTTTATGCACAAATTTAATGTTGCATACACCTGCCTAATATAAAAAATTCATAAAGATATAAAATATATGTGAGATCAAAACCGTCCATATTTTTTGATAGCTATAATAGAGCAACACATAATAATATCATTCACTTGATCTAACAAGTTAATGAAAATTCATAAAATAAAAAATTGATACACCCTACCACAAAATTTATACATTCATTTTTCATGTCCGACGGCCATTTTAGAGAACACGTGGTGCTTCCCTTTCCCTGACTGAAAATTTTGAAAAACATCATGTACTTCATAGTTTGATGCTATTCAAAATAATTGTCTTCCAATCAGTATTTGAAATATTCCGCTTGTCTTGATCCAGCGTGTCTACTGCTATAAGTAGCTAACTATGCTTCTTGGCCGACTATTGGTATTTCTCTGGCAACATACTGTGTAGTGACTACATGAGGTGTACTGGCCTAACAGCAGTTTTAAAAGCAACACAAGCCAGGAAAACCAAATTCACAAATATGTCCATGTCTTTAATTATTACACGATAATATGTCGAAAAGTCACACCGTACCCTAAAGTTCCGAAATTTGTCAGGGAAAAACACACGAAACTGTCCCCTGCCACCTAAACAGTAAAGGGCGTGTCAAAAACGGAAAACAGCTAATTTAAACGCGTAGGCTAGGTTTACTTCAAATTTTGTCTGAAAAACTTATTTGGGACATTTTAACTGAGTGATTTTGGAGTACAATATTTACTCGATAATAAGATCAGTCCAACTGCAGACTGCACATACCCAGATCTGCCATCGATTATTACCCGGGCAGAATAGGGTCTATGCGGTTTGCAAAGAGCAATCAGTAAAACAAAACAACATATATTATAATCTGCCTGCTCATTATGCTACGGGGTGTTTGTGTGTGTGTGTGTGTGTGTGTGTGTGTGTATGTGTATGTGTGTGTAATCGAAATTTTAACATAGCTTTAACAATTTTTCAGTCATATCGCAACGATGTCTGCAGCGTGGCATTTTTTAATGATGGCTGGCACTGAGACTCCTTGCCGCAGACATGTAGCATGATGTCACACCCGGTCACATTTATCCTGACACTAGGCCGATTAGTCCTAACACTGACTTTTCAAGGCTGAGCGACAAGCGAGGAAGCTGTATCATTTTTATAAGTCTTTGGTATGACTCAGCCGGGATTCGGACCCGCGACCTCCCGCATCCGAGACGGACGCTCTAACCACTAGGCCACCAGATAGACTCGACTCGAGAAAACTCGATGCTACAAATCTAATATTTTTTGCACCTCTAAACTGTAAAACTTTCACATCTTCGAGACACAATAATGAATAGAAGATCTTGTCAAAATCAATATTTTCTTATTAAATATCGAACTTAAAATCAGTTTTAAAATATTAGTTTCTTTTAAGTAGCATAGGATCTGTTTTAAAATATCATGTCCTATATAGATAATCCTGCAAATTTGTTTTTTTTTAAAAAATGATTTTCTTATGCCTGAAGCTTTCGTATCAGACACCTATTTTACGCATGAAATTGGAAGAAGTAAATAAGGCTTATATTTTCATAGACAGTTCACCTTCAAGGAAGTGCTGAGATTTCTCGTTGTGCAAATTACTTTCGGACCCCAAAACATGAACTGTCAAAAGCTGACCATTAAGAAAGGGTTTAATTAGATAATGGAAGTCAGGCGTTCCTATAATTGCTCTATTATCCGTCTGGAGAAGGTGTTTCATTTACTGTATGCTAATTGTAGGTAGAAAGCGAATAAAATGTGCATAACTAGCGAGAATTTGAAGCTTAGTGTCTACTTGGCGTGTATTGCAACCATTATTCTCGTGTTCAAACGTCTTCAATATGGGAACTATCTTTTTCCATATGTTTTTGTTTAGAATGGCTGGTTTTGGAAGTAACGTTTTCCTGCCATGTTTTAACGAATCATATAAGTATTGTTATGAATATTTAATTTGCATTGTTTCTTATTTTTTTTAGTTTTGATTTTCATGATATTCATTGGATACTAGTATAATGGACTTGACCTTTTCCAAAATCAAGTTCATTTTCTACCTGAACTGAATCATTGATTTTGGTTTTGTAGCAAACTTTCGAAATTCCATATGAAATGAGTGGTCTACATGTTTGTTTCCTACATTATATGTTACAATTTTAGAAAATGCTTCACATTATAATTAAGATTTTATCTTGTAAACATTTAGAGCCTTTCAGAAGGAAACGTGTCATTAGGTAATAGTTCTGATAGATAATGATGTGTAACCTGTGTTTTTCTACAAATTAATTATTCTTGCTGTCAGATCTTAGCAGAATCAGTCGTATTATTGTTGTTTTCAGTAATTCGTTGTAATGTATTATTCATTTTTTTAACAAAAAATTCAAGGGATTCTTCTTTGGAAATACAAAGTGCTCAAGATAACAATATTGGAAATATAATCTTGAATTTACAGTGAATTTTTGGATTGTATCATTGTGATCCAACAAATGACTGTTCGCAAATCACCACTACACGAGCCACAAGAGGCACATCAACACATTCAGCATTAGTTTTATTTTTATTTCCACTAAAGTTCAGAACTTTAATCATTAGGACTTGTTCTGTAATTCTATGATTATTTGGGATTTAATTCGCAATACTGTAAGTTCTTTGTTTTAAATTTTCTCTTTGCATTCTATGGAAATAAAATATTTGTTGAATTTCACAAAGCTTGTTGCTTCTCACTGTTGTATATTAATTTGCATGAAGAGTCGTAATAGTATCTTCAGTATAGTATATGTTATGCAGGTAGCAGTCCGATAAATCAACCCCCTCCTGATGGAAAATATGTGGGTCTGATGCCACCTGTTCATTAAAATGTACAATTGTGCTGCATGCAACCCTTTCCGGAATACACCCCGAACACCAGAGATACTTACAGGTATTTGGTAACAGCCATATAGTGCTAAATTCAAAATGGCCACAGAAAAGAGGTTTGTGCTACTTCACGTGGATTTACAAGTCGCCAATCATATGAGATAAGATCATGAAATATAACGTCACCAAAAGCTCTACGGCTGCAATAATTCCTGTTTGTGTATAAAACGTACACAGATGTGTGCTGACAAAATTGACTGTAGACTTTTGCTGGTTTTAATGAATAAGCGATATCGTCCACTACACCACCAGTCAATATCATCACAGACGTGGGGCTGATCATCGTCCTATGGAAGTACCGGCATGGTGAATCAAAGAAAGAAGTTAAAATTTAAATTATTTTTTTTTATCTGTGGAATTTTCCAGAAGTCTACACCGTAATAAATTTTGTTGAATTATACGATAAAGTTGTATTTTAAGAAAAGAATTAACACCAGTATATATTTGCTGTTGTTGTTGTTGTTGCAGGGCTTAACGTCATTTTTCAGCACATGATAGGCTATACATGGCGGCCAGTATGAATGGTGGAGGAAGAAACTGGGAAATCACCGGAAAGAACCACCGACCCACGAGAAGCTACTGGCAAGCTTTCTCACATATCCACATTCGCCGAATCCTAGACTCGAACCCACGCAGACAGAGGTGAGATGGCAGTGATCTGTAACGGACAGCGCTTTAGACCACTCGGCCACTAGCCCCCCCCCAGTATATATTTGAACTTTATTCTCATATTCTTGGAAAGTAGTCCCCAGCAACTGAAGAAAGAATAGATAAAGCAATTATAGTTACCCCCAAACATTACTTGGACAACTTGGTAGCTTGCACAGTATACAATACGATTACATATATCAAAACCTCCGATAAAAACCCTACGATGTGCAAATACGGTTGATTTAACCAAGAGAAAAGACAATAGAGATTAAAGGCGCGGAATGATTAATAACACACCTTTGACAATAGTCATCCATAGAGGAAAGGAAATCTGAAGCGAACACTTTTACTTGGTGACTTTCAACTATTTACCTCTGGCATTTGGGTATATAATTTGAAACCCCCAAATCTCGAACCTCAATAACTTTCACAAATACGACATTCAATCTGTATTTTTTTTCAACAAAGAAGACATTGAAGTAATCTGGTAAAGTTAAGTTTTATGTCTTCCTTTCGACTTACAAGAGGACTTTGATAGACTTACATAGGACACGCCCCATGTCATCCGATATTCAAAAAGACAATAGTTTTCATCTTGTAAAAAGGAAATACCCTTTGAACTTTACTAAAAGTTCCACGTGTATGACTTCCTATCATACATCATACTTTTATGTTGAACTATGATCTATATTCGTCGTGTTTATCCTTTTTAGGTATCATAGGCGTAGCCTTGTTCTAGGACACATACATCATTCCCCTTATGTATGTATGTATGTATGTATGTATGTATGTATGTATGTATGTATGTATGTATGTATGTATGTATGTATGTATGTATGTATGTATGTATGTATGTATGTATGTATGTATGTATGTATATAGGTATGTATGTAGGTATGTATGTATGTATGTATGTATGTATGTATGTATGTATGTATGTATGTATGTATGTATGTATGTATGTATGTATGTAATGTATGTATGTATGTATGTATGTATGTATGTATGTATGTATGTATGTATGTATGTATGTATGTATGTATGTATGTATGTATGTATGTATGTGCGTGTGTGCGTGCGTGCATATGTAAGTATGTATGAATATACGTATGTATGTATGTATGTATGTATGTATGTATGTATGTATGTATGTATGTATGTATGTATGTATGTATGTATGTATGTATGTATGTATGTATGTATGTATGTATGTATGTATGTATAGGGCAAAAGTTGAAAAGTGCTGCACGTTTCAAGCCATTGTGACATAAAATGTTTGAAATTTTTTCTGCCTGAAAATCTTTTATAAATTTATAAAAGAATGTCTGCTTTTCGGTCCATTCATATAAATAAACAACTCATTTTAGTTCTAGCCAAGACAAACACTTCATTGTTCCGAAAGCAAGACAAACACTTTCGTTAGTATTATGATACAAACAAATTAAAAATTCTGCTGATTTAGTTTTTCATATCATTTTTATCATACGTTCTTTAACCCACCCACAAATCAATATTTGATTGACCAATGAAGTTTTTGCTATTGTATTTTTTTTGGAGGGGATGGGGGTCTTGTGCCATAAACAGGTGGTAACGGTAATTATAATGCCAATTAAAAAAGTACAGTTTGACACCTACACCTGGCCCGCCTATACTCGATATGCTTCCGTGAAGAATATTTGTACGAATGTTCCATGAGGGGTTAAGTAATAGTACACTAAGGGATGGCGAGTGAAATCAATATAAATAAATGCCAAGTCAGCAGAATGTCCTGGCACAGGTGTTTCAAGATGGGGGTCATGCGGATATAGTGACAGTAATCCTGATTTGTTTCGTCACGTGTAAAAAATAAATAAGTTTGGATATATATATAGATCCGTTTCTTGAATATTTTGAGACGTGACACTACCAGAAGGACAAATATTTATGCACGGTTGCTTGACAATGTTTTGAAATGTTCTAAATATTTTGTTATAAAATTATTTTTTTAACATATCAATAAATTTGAAACCGATAGATATACAAAATAATATTTTTCAAAATCATATGCATCTGCACGTGCAGCACTCCATGCACCTGAAGATGTTTGCGTGTTATGTAACTTGGATAAATGATAGTGACCTAAATCTGTTGCAGAAGAGAAACGACTTTGCTGCTTTCCAAAGGCCGTACTGGAAATTCAGGGCGGTCTCTGACTTGATAAAGTTTACGGATGTTATTTTCCGGCATTACTTATAAATCTGTGATGGTTTCATGGTATTAAATATTGTCTCGGATCCATGAAGGATGCCATACGTTCTGGAAATCCGTTGTCTGCGATTGGTGAGTGACCACTGTGATTGCGGCAATTGATAAGGATGCTCGATACACGATTAAAATATTTACATTATCACATTAATTAATTCGTCGGTTATTTTATATATTGTAGAATCATTTAAAACTCAGAAAGGTTTTGTGCAAGACTAGACGCCCATTTGTTGACGGCTGGTCAAAAACAAAAATCGTGTTGAAATCTCCAGGCAGCTATATATATACACAGTTAACAATTCCACGTTGTAACAACGTTGCAGCAATGTTGCAGTAAGGTTGTGGCAACGTTGTCATATAACGTTGTTGCAACGCGATTTGGTGAACTACTTGGAATGTTTCTACAACGTTGTTGTTTGACA